TTCAAAAGCATTTAATATGTGTCCAATCTCATGCAAGTGCTGTTTTTTCTTTTGCTTTACTACAGCATTATCGTCAGGGGAAGTCAACAGTATAAAACCCTTATTAAAAGTCTGATGGTATTGTGTCCTTGGCCTGTAAAAACAAACACAGCTTAACAAAAAGCAAACTTTAATTAACAGCATTTATCATAAATTATTGACCATCCTTAGTTCTGAAAATGGCTAAGCTCACTAGTGGGACTGGGACTTCAGTTGGGAAGACATTTTATACTTCTTAACTATAGAGGCAGGTCTGTCTGCCTCTGTGTGTGTGTGTGTGTGTGTCCCTCCCTCCCTCCCCCTCCCCAGTTTCAGATCAGATTTTATTCTTACCTTTTTCTAGATCGAGACTTCCAATTACCATACTTCTGGCGAGTGTGATATCGTGGTCCGTGAACTTCGCCGGCGGATGATGTTGGCATCGTTTGCCTGTTATTGATGCTTTGTACACCAGGCGTCGATGGCCGAAACAAAGTGCGCAATTCAGATTCTGTTTCTGACTGCAGTTGAGCAGAAGGCGACACATTGGATTAAACTGAATTAGCAATTGATCTAATAATAGTGGGCGAAGCGTATGTGCGTGTGGTGTTGTAGGTGTATATGCACGGATCGAGTTTAAATACATATATAAGCGAGTGTCTATAGGTGTATGCATGCGTCAACTTTGTATGTATATGCAAGATATTCACAAGTGTATATGCATTCATTACTAACATAATATGTATTTGGCATGGATTTCATATTAGTGTGCACGTGTATTTCATACATGTATTTTTGAACATCCAATAGTATACATGTATGTGAGTAATTTATAGGTGTATATGCATGGATCAAGTTTATATGTATATGCGAGTATGTATAGGTGAGTCTGCATGCAGCGAGTTTATATGTATGTGCCAGTGTTTATAGGTGTATATGCATGGATCAAGTTTATATGTATATGCGAGTATGTATAGGTGAGTCTGCATGCAGCGAGTTTATATGTATGTGCCAGTGTTTATAGGTGTATATGCACGTGTTTTATGTATGTATTGATAAGCGAAGTTTGATTTAAATCCTACGTGGCGCCTCATAAAGAACTGATCGCACGCTGTATACGAGAACTGAAGAAGTGGAGCGTGCGCGAGAGAGAGCACTTCTATCAGCGCGATTCCGCCTATACTGTCTTAACTAACCTTAAGTTAATCGACAACGAATTGTGACTCCCGGGAAAAACGGGACCTTCGGGTGCTGAGGTCATAGTTTCAGATCGCTAGTTCGCATTTTGTTAGCCTATCCATCCACTGCGGCTGCCATACTGAGACTAGATATGCGAACGCCCCTTATCCGATTGCAATCCAATGACAGGGACGCACATTTTGAAGGACAAGACAGTAGCCTATAGGATGTATTTTGAATGTACGGTAGACCTCAAATAACATTATAGTCCCGTCTCATCTTATTAATGAAGACACGGCATAAATTTCGTCATAGTTTTTATCATCAGATTTTAGCTCGTCAACGTCTCGTCTTATTTACAGACAAAAATTTCTTTAACGAATATTTTTCGTCATCATCTTCGTTGATGAAATTCACACTGGTCTGTTCCCTGAATAGTGAGGTCAAAATATAAATTTAATGCAGGCTTTAGAAAAAATCTGATCGTGATTAAACCAGAACAATTTAAAATAAATGAACAAAAACCATTTTTAAAGTTTGGGCTCCTAAACATTAGATCACTCTCACCCAAAGCAGTTATTGTAAATGAAATGATCACAGATAATAGTTTTGATGTACTCTGCTTGACTGAAACCTGGCTAAAACATAATGATTATATTGGTCTAAATGAGTCTACACCACCAAGCTACTATTATAAGCATGAGCCCCGTCAGACTGGTCGTGGCGGCGGTGTTACAACAATATATAGTGATATTCTCAATGTTACTCAGAAGACAGGATACAGGTTTAACTCATTCGAAATACTAATGCTTAATGTTACACTGTCAGATATGCAAAAGAAATCTATCGTATCTCTTGCTCTGGCTACTGTGTATAGACCACCAGGGCCGTATACAGATTTCCTAAAAGAATTTGCAGATTTCCTCTCAGACCTATTGGTTACTGTTGATAAAGCACTAATTGTCGGAGATTTTAATATTCACGTTGATAATACAAATGATGCATTAGGACTTGCGTTTACTGACCTAATAAACTCTTTTGGAGTAAAGCAAAATGTCACCGGGCCCACTCATCGTTTTAATCATACGCTAGATTTAATTATATCGCATGGAATTGATCTTACTGATATAGATATCGTACCTCAAAGCGATGATGTTACTGACCATTTCCTTGTATCGTGCATGCTGCATATTGCAGATATTAACTATATTTCCAAAATGAGCTGTAGAGGCTAAAATGAGCAGTGTGAATGTCACGTTACATTTATAACAATCATTTGTTAATGTTTGAATTGTATTTCGGGGCAGTTCATGAAGACAGATAATCAAGAGATTAATAGTGTTCATCGTCTGTTTGATTACGTCTTTAATTGATTTTTCCGTACATTTCTGCCATATGTACATTAACTGACAGTCACCACTGATAAGCTACCACTAAATATTGTAGAAACTTAATTTGCTGTAAAGTTGCTTTGCAACGATTTGTATTGTGAAAAGCGCTATACAAATACTTGAATTGAATTGAATTGAAGAGATACACATTATGGTCAGTAGGATTTTGTGATTTGCGCTGCTCTGAGCTTAGAACGATACTCACGGAGAACATCAGATAGCCAAGGGGCAGAAGAGGTGGTACTAGCTGGCCTGGAAGACAAGGGGCAGACAGTGTCTAAACAAGACGTAAGAGTGGAGCAGAAAGTATCAGTAGCACTGTTAACATCAAGAGATGATAACTGTTCAGGAGAAGGAAGCAAAGATGAAACCATAGCAGATAGCCGGGAGGGCGAGAGAGAGTAGGTTACGTCGAAAAGTGACATGTGTAGGGGTATGTGTTGTGTCAGGAACCATGTTTAGGTTAAGAGTGAGGAGGAAGTGATCCGAGGTGTGCAGTGGAGTAACCAGCACATGATCAGTGGAGCAGTGTTGTGAGTGCTAAAAGGACATACTATCATAACAAAATTAACAATTCGCCTAACTCTTGCATGCTCTTTAAAACATTTTCCTCCCTCCTTTATCCTCCTCCTCCCCCTCCTTCATCAACTCTAACAGCTGACGACTTTGCCACATTCTTCATTAATAAAATTACAAACCTCAATGCACAATTTTCCACACCACAATCTGTCAAACACATCTTACCAGCAAACATACTCTCGATCATGTATGCCATTAAAATTCATTTTAGAATTAAATAAATAGGTTCAGCCAAATGCATTTATGTCTGAGAACCTTTTATACACTGTATACTGTGTCCCTTATTCTGTCCCTTAATTTCCTATTGAGAACCATGATTGTCTCTCATTTTCCTTTCTAAAGTTGGCAACCCTAGGTCTAAGAAAACATAAACTCAGAATTATCTTAAAATAACTGTTACAGCAAAGGCTTTGGTACAGTTCGTCTGTTCTGCTGCTATTCCCAGCTTTAAATTAGATAAACATATTCCAATTAAATTAAACTGAATGCTATAAAATAAATGTAGGTATTGTTTTTGCTTACCTGTTTTATTCTGAAGACAGTCTGAGCTGTAGTTTGTGCTTCTGATGTCTCCTGGACAAGTGCTTGAGCTCTCTAACACACTGCTATTATTATCTGTGCCTGCAATTGAAGCACTTACTGGACAGAAAGCAACAGCAAGCCTTTATAGGCTGCTAAAACTGTGGTTTGGGTGGTGTCCACACACACACACACACACACGCATCAGTTATTTGAGAGTGTGGTATTTACAGGAAACTGAAAGGGATTTGGCTCTTAAAGCTAAAGTAGATTTAGCACATTCCTGCCTTTTACAGTTCATAACATGAAGAAGGGCTTTCAATACAATAAAGTGAGTGTAAATATGAAATATATATATTCAGTTTAATAATTTTTTTTTTTAACAAAAAACATTGTCACTGTATTATTGTCTTCACAAAGTAATGTCTAGAGTCATGAAATTATTTTAATCAACTATGTTTTTGTTATCTTGTTTTATATTGTATGTTCACAACAAGCTACAGGTAGTCCAAATTATTTTTTCAGGAAACTGGCAGGCTAGAATAGCAACACAGTAGCGAACAATAAACAATAAAAACATCTTGGGTTATGCATGTAACCATGGTTCCCAGGGAATGAGATGCTACCTCCTCTAGGGGACACAAAGGAATGGCAAGGGGATGCAGCGTCTCATTCCCTCTCGGGGAACCATGGTTATTTTGCCTCTCGGGGATTTTGCCAAGTCATACTTGTTCCTGGATCACCATCTTTTGTTGATCCTGGGACAACATTACTGTCCAAAAACATAGACCTAACCCTATCCCTAAACCTCACCCTACCCATAATTTATCCCTAAAATCAATGATAGCTGAATAACATAGATGTAAAAGGACCTAACCCTTGTTGTAAGCGTAAAATTGACATTTCCTGTAAACTTGGATGTTGATCCAGGAACATGTTGTACTTAATGAAATCACATTCCCCTTCTAGGGAACTCTCACTGCATCCTCTAGCAGACACTATGGAGAACGAAATGCCAACTATGCCATGCAGAGGTGCATGCCTGTCCACCTGACAAATATAATTTTGAGTTCAGGAGAGAAGGTGAGCTAAATAACTGCTCAGTTAATGCTTTGCAGAGTGCTTGTGAAATGTTTGACACTGCTGGAAATGTAAGACTTGTGCCCAAGTTTAATGATAAAGATCCAGATATAGTTTTATATTGTTTGAGCAGGTAGCAGAAGCAAGAGGCTGGCCTAGTATGTAATGTGTTTGTGTTCTCACTGGGAAGGCTCAAGAAGCTTATTCTGCCCTTTCAGTTTCACATTGTGAACATTATGCTACCGTTAAAGCGGCCGCATTAAAGACGTATGAGCTAGTACCTGAAGCATATCGACAAAAATTTAGAACATTGTCCAAGGGCGTTGATCAAGCTCAAATGGAGTTTGTTAGAGAATTTGGTAACACTTTATAACTTTAATTTATAAATCACTAACAAACATACAATGCTTAACAGATCATTAGTTAAAGGCAGAGTGAGTGATTTTTCAAAAATGCTTTAAAAACTGATTCGGGCCGAATCGCAAAACAAACTTGTAGCCAATCAGCAATAAGGGGCGTGTTTATTCGTGATGTGGAGGAGAGAGCGTTCAGTGCACGGGACGGACATTAGCCAAGCCGAGCGACAGAAAGATAGAGATGGCGGATAAAAAACAAAAGAGGAACACGTCTGCGGAACGATAAGGCAAGAAGTAGGACCCGTGTAAATATCGGATCAGTTTTCCAGCGCTGGAGAGAACTCAAGGAGCGGAGGCCTGTGATCGGATGACGAGGTTGCTTTGTTTCTTCTCAATAGATGAGTAACACCGTGTCTACAACAGCTAAAGTCTGCCTACACTGGACGCGATCAAACGACCGTTGAAAACCATTTGAAATTTGTGTCAGCACGTCATAAATAGAACCCGGCAGCAGTTTTCTGTCGGGATCTGTTGCGCCGCGCCACTCACGTCCGTAGACACGGTGTAACATTGGTTTTGCTTTGTTTCACAGAACTAATCGTTGCCTGGGTTGTGTACGTATATGTGGGGCGGAGCTATCAAAGCTTCAAGCTTTGAAAAGGTACCTCCCCAGTGACAGCTTTTATACCTTTTTTTCTGAGTGTATGAACTGAAAGTTTACTGACATTTGTAAGCATTTCAATTTACGTTCAGTTCATACACTCAGAAAAATAAAAACTGATAACATGAAAAAAAAAAAACAAATTAAAAGGTTCTACTCTTATTAAATGTACAATTTTTCTTCTTCTCCCTCAGAAATAAAAGGTACAAAAGCTGTCACTGGGGAGGTACCTTTTCAAAAGGCACACCTTTATACCTAAAGAGTCCATATTGGTACCTTAAAGGTACATATGAGTACCTAAAGTGTACATAATAGTATCTAAAAGGTACAAAAGTGTACCTTTTGAAAAGGAGTTTCTAAGATGGAAGAATGCCGTTTTTGTAACATGGGAAATATGGTTTTCAAAAGACAAGTTGCTATCTAATATAACACCCAGATTTTTGACTGTAGAGGAAGTAACCGTGTATCCGTCTAGATACGGACCTTTTGTACCTTTTTTTCTAAGAGTGTATGATGTTCATTTGTTGGTCTTTGTTGTGTAGACCTCTATTTACACATCTTAACAAATAATCTATTAATAATTTGTTCATGTTTTTGCAGTACCCAATCTAAAGTGGAAACTATTAATCATTTGCAAATGTTTATAAATGTTTACTAATCATTAGCATCTTTATGAGCAGTCTTCTCAATGGCAAAAAGTGTCCCGAAAGACCTGAATTTACCCTATTCACACATCTTTACTAATCATTTATTAATCTTTTGTTCATGTTTTTGCAATAGCCAATCTAAAGTTGAAACTATTCATAATTTGTAAATGTTTATAAACGATTACTAATCATTTAGTATCTTTATGGACATTGGACTTTTAGCTAATGTAACAACATTTGTTTAAAAGGTGGCTGTTTAATCTTAGCTAAATGCTTGCTGAAGACAACAGATTGTAATTTTGGTGTAAAAAAATTGTATTGCCTCAACACTCACATTAGTATACTACTCTTCAGTATATCACTAAACAGGATATTCATTGAATCATAAATAAACAGGAGAAAACAAATCATTTTTTAAAAAGAAAATACTTGTTCATTTATCAAAACAATATAATATAAACAAGTTGAACTGTTTTCCCTCATAATAATCAAACTGACCCCTGTACACTTCTGACCCCTTACCCAACCCTTTAACCTACCCAAACCACCAAACCTGTCCCTAACCCGTATCACCCCTCAATAGCAGCTAAGAAGTTGTGCATTAACACAAGCTTTTAATCATTTTATAACATGTTAAAATCATTTGTAGATTTTCAATAAGTGCTTGATCATATGGAATTGAAAGCTTAATGACGTTTGTAAGCATTTTAACTTACATTAGATAATGTTCAAACAAATTATATCATGTTTAATAAGTTTATTAGCAAACATTAACAAGCACATTATCTCATGTTTCTAACTCTTTGAATATATATTAACTAATGTAATGATCCATTAAGCATTATATAATTTTTTTAAATGATTTATTAATCAAAGTTATTATAAAGTGTTACCGAGAACGTACTACTGCATTTAATCACTGGTGTGCGGCTGCTAAAATGACTACATTTGTTTGTTTTTTTTATTTTTAAAGCACATTTATACAACTAAGGTTGCCCAAAGTGCTGTACAAGCATAATAAATAAAATGATAAAAAGGACAGCCTCAGTACATTCACAATTTAAACACCAATTAATATTAAAACTCTGGCTGATAAAAAGCACGAGATAAATGACCCTTTAGCAAAGCTTTAAAAATGTAAATAGTCTGAGCAGATCTTATATGCATAGGTAGTGCGTTCCTTTAAATTTACATCTGGTTCTGGGAACCACAAAAAGAAACTGATCGGAAGACCTCAAAGGCCTGAGAGAGGAATATCAGCTCACCAATGTTTCCAAATATTTTGGGGCCAGTCCATTTAAAGATTTAAAAACATACAATAAAAGTTTATATTCAATTCTAAATTGAAGAGGCAACCATTTAAGAGATAGCAAAATCGGGGTAATATGGGCATGGTTTCGAGTGCCAGTCATCAATCTTGCTGCTGCATTTTTGAACTGACTGTAGCCAAGCCAAGGTTTTCTGGCTAACACCCACATAAAGAGAATTATAATGGTCTAGACGTGAAAAAAATAAAAGTATGAATGAAGAGTTGATTAATTTTATTTGGCTTGAACAATTTAAAAATGTTATTCCTGCTCGCATTACAACATACAGTATATCAATGAGCAGAAAGCTAAAACAGCAATTGAGGCTGCTCAATTGGCTGATGATTATGTCTTGACACGTAAGAGTTGTTTCATGAAAGGACATTTTTGAAGATAGAATATATTGTGTGCAGAAAAAAAAAAATCCATCTTTGATTTGTAATTATTGCAAGGGCAAAGGTTCCATGTATTAAACCAGCTGTTTTTTGTGGCACCAGCAGTAAATTCTGTCAGTCTGATGCCTGATTTCCCAGACCAGTACTCCCCTTAAAAGAGGGGTCAAGGATCTGGAGGGAGGATTCAAATGCAGAGTGAGTGTTAACAGATTTATCAGGCAGACTTGCAGACCAGACGAGAGATGGTGAGGAGAGGAGTGAACAGTCCAAACATTAGGAAGGGAAAGACTTGCAGACCGGTGAACTGCCACAGAGTCCAGTCCAGGATGGCAGACCACCAGAGAGCAGTGAAGGCAGCGAAGCAGGAGGCCGGCGGTAAGCAGCAGTGGCCTGACACTCCTCACCACTCCACACTCGTGATGTGTCAGGCACTGCACAGGCCTAGCAGCATGGCAGACCCGGGGAGATGACCAGTAGCTCAACCTGCAAGTCAGAACAGGACAGGATTAGAATAGGAACTGACAAGAAACTAAATACAAACAATCTGGCAAGGAACACGACAAATAAAAGCGCTAGCAAACATGCAAGTTGGAACAATGAACTGACAACACAAGAGGGAAAGAGAGCACAAAATAAAGGAGAAGAGTACACAAGGAACAGGTGGGAACACTCAGACAAACAAGGAGAGAACGAGAGGGACAGGTGACGACACTCAAGACTAACGAGGACTCAAGGACTAAACAAGGGGGCGTGGTAATGGGTAACAAGGAGGCAGGATGAGAGGAGCACATGGCAGACAACAACAAAGACAGAGCCATGTGTTTAGACACAAAACAAACATAGAAACATGAAACAAAAGACAACACAGATAAGACAAGAGGGACATTATAGCCCCGTTTCCACCGCAGGAACTTTCCCCAGGAACTAGGGACTTTGGGCCGGTACTCAGTGTTTTTCCACTGCAGGAACCAGGATCTAAAAATTGCCCCTCAGAAAGTCCCCTGCTCACTAGGTAGTATTAATATGTTAAAATGAAAATAAAAAGGAGGCAATACTGTTTGATATAACATTTAGTTTCATTGTAATGTAGGCTATATACACATTTCCCTGAACTACATTTATGCGGCTATTAATGTTTAAATGAAAACGAAAGGAGGCAGTGGTGTTCGACATCATATTTCATCTTATTGTAAATATACAGTGAGGAAAATTGCAGTAGCCAAGGCGAGCTGACTGACGTTATCAAGTAGGAGTCGTTGGAGGATCGCGGGAGAAACAAAAGGTAAGTCTTTCTAGGAGAGTTCAGCTGAGAGTCCAGAACAGTCCATAAGGGTGAACGGTAGACCGGACAGTGTGTGACTGTGATGTGTGTGTATATGTAGTGTGGCTTGATTGGTGACAGCAGGTGCAGGTGATCAGAACTCAGGTGACTGTGATCGGGGGATTATCCTGGATGGTGACTGAAGTGACTGTGATGAATCCCTGACACATATCCTGGTTCAGTAGTAGTTAATTTCAATAGACTTTAAAAGACAGAATTTTAAATGTCTTTCAACAACCAATCCTGAAAAATTATGAAAACATATTGAAATATGTAAATTTATAATTTTCTTTCTGTATATCACATAACACTTTCCCTGAATATTTAAATGCCACACAATTTAAGAGTAATTTGCCACAGTGGCAACAGTAAGTAGTTGATTTTTTTTTCTCCATGAAACTGGATATTTGACAGTAAAGCACTCAAGTTAAGTTGTGATGCAAAAATTAATTTGATTAAATAAATATTTTCTTATAAAAATTAGGTTTTTACACTTTAAAACCAATTTTAAGTTTTCTGACAATGCGACAGAGTTGGGTCTTAATAGCCTTCGCTTTTGCTTTATATTTTCTCAATAAAATGTACCATATGTTATTCCATAGTACCATAGATTTGTAGGTCATGGTAACTACAGGTAAACCATGCAAGGCTCTTCACTACACAGTAAGAAAAAAAATGGTGTCTATAAAACTCTGGAATTCATGAAAAGCAGTAGCCTAAACATATTTAGTATGAATATATGGGTGATTCTTAGAGTATAGGCACTTTTATGTTCTTTGGTCATATTTTTTAAAATACATATAATTTTGGACAAATTCCTCTTTCTTGGTCAAACTAACAATAAAACCACCTTAAAAACTTTTTACTACCTTTCTATTATGATTTTGTCATACTTTTCAACCTCCTTAAAGGTGTCAAAATCACTGTTTTCTCCTTGTCGCACACCCAGACTTTTAAACTTCAACAATGAAAATACAGTTTAAAAATATGACTTATCTGGTAACTATTAATGTACCTGAATTAAGCACTAGTAAAATAATTAAAATACATAATAGTATTTAATGCGAGACCATGATCAATATTACTTTCTATACAAAATATAGCTGTCGCACAGTATTGGTGTCATTTCCAGCACAACACTGTAATGTCCCTTTAACAAGTTTGTGTGAAAGATTGTTTAGTTGGTTTCTATGGAAATGACAAACAATTGAAGAAAAATCAAGGTAAATATTGCTTGATCACTTAACATATTTATTCTACGTCATTTCCAAACATGCTGTACCTTCAAAGGTGTTTTTAAAAAGCTAAAAAATTTAAGTTAAATAAGAGTATTTTGCATACATTAAATGCTAAGTATTAATTCAAAGCTAATCAGTGAAGCTATATTCCATTTTTTCACAAAAAACTACAGAAATGTCATTTCCACCACACTGCCCTCTGTGGTGGAAATGACATTTATGGTTACAAAGTACAATTGATATGGATTGAAAGAGTACATTTGTGTAATACTTTTTATATTATAATATATTACAATACTTTTTATATTTAAATTATGATATTATTTTTATTTCTAAATTATATTACTTTTATATTAATTGATTTCATTTTTATCTATTTTTACGATGCCACCTAAGACAACAAAAGAAAGGTCACAGGCCTAAAGGGACAAAATAAAAGCTGCCCCTATAAAATATGAAGAGAGACTTACAAGAGACAGGGAGAGATACCCGAGGAAAAAAGAAAAAAGAGTAGTAAAAGCAATTGCAGATCTGTCAAAGCGGGAGCAACGCAAACAAAGGAGACAATGGAGAATCAATCAAAGAAATAGATGAGAGGAGATTAAAAAAGCCCTCACGATGCAGGCCTACCTTTCCACCACCACACTACCACACTCTCCTGATGTTGCCTTGCAGCCAGAACAGGATGTTGACCTGCCCCCCACACCACCTTCTGCCCGATCTCAATCCCAAAAACAGCGGGGAAGGAAAAGGGTAGCAATAAACCATCAAAAAGTGTATGCAGCACTGTATGAGAGTAACGCCAAGCTTGAGAAAGCTTTGCGAAAGGCACAGAAATACCGCCAGCGGTATGATAGACTGATGAAAAAAATTAGGCAGGCTGACTCTCCAAATACAAAATCCAAATGGCAAATGGTAACAGCACCTAGCACTCTACGAAGAACTTTAGTTTTTCACAACGCTCTGATCGCTGAACTGAGAGACAGATATAAAAATCTCCAATCAGACAGAGACAAACACATAATTTCCAAAATAATGGCAGGAAAAGTCCTTAAGAAGTATCAACTACTGAAAATGGCCCAAAGGGAATTTGGCTTTTCACCCAGAAGAATGAGGAGTAATGAAAAAAGGACAACAGCACTTACTTACAGATGGAAGAAACAAAAGAATAGCATTACCCCAGCCACAGAAGAAAAAATCTAACAATTCTTAGAAAGAGATGAGAATAGCAGAGCATCAACTGGAAAAAAGGACACTGTGACCAAGAAAAAGACAAAAACGATTCCTGAATGAGCCTCTGGAAAAACTCCATAAGAAGTTTAGGAAGGAGTATCCTGACATCAGGATTTCTAACAGTGAGTTCTGTAAGAGACGTTCGGTTTGGATTGTAAAGCCCACAGTTAAGGATAGAGACACATGCCTCTGCAAGACCCATGCCAATCTGCAGAGTATGGCAGACAAGCTGCTTTATCATAAAGTCATTAAAAGCAGCAACATTGAAGATTTGATTGTATCCCTGTGCTGTTTGCCAAACTATACCAAGCAATTTATGTACAGGGAATGTGATTTATTAAAAAAAAAAATATGAGAGTAATTAAAACATGTTTATGACTGCAACAAGAACACCAATGATTAACAAATAGGAGCGGCAGATCATTTTAAAATGTCTAATAGCCTTCAATTTACAGGTTATAACTGCACCAGACTTGTGAAGATTTATTTTAATGCGGATAACATACTGTAGCGTTAACTTAAAATACATGTGCTCTATTACTATTCATATTTAACCCTTTAGCTGCCCCACCAAGAAAAAGGCATTTGAAAAAAATGTTGTTTGCATTTCTTATCTCCTTATGTCGCTAGTTATCACACTCAATGTTTTTTTTTTAACACATCCCATAATTTTTTTAATATCAACCTCTACCAAATGGTTGATATGTCACTTTATGGTAAAAGTACCGGAATTCATACACATACTATGAAAATCAGAAAATATGAACTATAATACTAATTTATTTAAAAACATAATCAAAATAAAATAGTTTTGTATATTGAATCTTCTTTATTTATTGAAGTATGCCATAAAATATTTCAGGTTTTCATTTTAATACAGGAAATTACATGTTTTCTTGTTTTTTTAACAATAAACAAAAATAAATAGCACAAATAACTAAAAGTAACAAAACCAAAGACATTACATTCTTTCTGCAGTCAAAAAAAAAAAAAAAAAGCAAAAAATTGTAATATAATGGCATTTTAGGCTTTTATGATTCAAGAAACACGCCGTCAAGTGTGGTAGTGCAACAAGATTTTTTTTTCTTTGTAAACCAGCAATGCTGTGTAGTGTAAGCCAACATTAGAAACAATCCTTCAAACAATATAAAACACTAGGGATTGTAAAACATTTCAGCAACATCTCTTACATGTGAAATGGTGCAACAGCACGAGTGCTTCCTGAACATGAGAAACCCCCCCCCCCTATTTCTGGTGGTATGCTGCAAAGCATTCCTGGTTTGCGTTCAAGCACAGGAAAACATTGCATTTTTGACATTTCCATCTTGACACACCCTTCGGACAGTAGTTGCACCGCCCCCGCTTGTCACAGTGTAGTGGCCAATGTCACACACGGACCCCCCCCCCCCCCCCCCCCATTTCTGGTGGTATGCTGCAAAGCATTCTTGGTTTGCGTTCAAGCACAGGAAAACATTGCATTTTTGACATTCCCATCTTGACACACCCTTCGGACAGTAGTTGCACCGCCCCCGCTTGTCATAGTGTAGTGGCCAATGTCCCAAGCTGTCATATCGCACATCTGGTTGCGGTTTTGGGAGTGAGGGTCTTGGGGTGTAGTGTTTCTTTGGTGGTGGAGAGCTGGATGATGGTCGACCAACTTTTGATGCAGGCTTGTTGACCTGGTTCAAACTATGGGCAACTGCCAGGCGGAACCATTTGAGAGGCATTGCTTTCTCATTTAGTAGGCCACATTCCCTCTTGTAGACCAGCCAGGAGTTTGCAATGGACAGATCAAGGATGTATCTAAAGAGGGGAATGTACCATCTCCTTGACTTGGCTGGGGTCCTGTACAAGTGTACCAGCATGTCAGAAAGATTAATCCCACCCATATGCTCATTGTAAGCAGGGATGAGTGATGGACATGGGACAGTGATCTTTTCCTTGGACACTTTGCACCACCGTTCGACAGCTGAAAGAGGCATGATCCCACTAGCATTGCTCAAAAGGTTGACACATTTGTTGTCAAACCATTTTACTGCAATCACCCCTTCAGCAGACCTGTAGTCATAAGACCCACGCCCTCTCTTAATCAGCTCTTTATCTGTCATCAAAGGAGCTCCACCAGTGCGGTTTGGTCGGACGGTGCCGATGCACTGGACACCCAAGGAGGTTTGCAGGGTCTGGACCAATTTAAAGCTTGTTAAAAAGTTGTCAAAGAAGACAACAGAAAGACGTGGTTGTTGTATAGTTTTGCATAGTGTTGTCACCACTTTGGCTCCTATAGGTAGCATCTGCTCCTCCTCACTGAGGGTGACATTGAAGAATGTGGATGCCCCTTGATACATCAGCAGGTCATGGATGATGCCAGATGAGCTGGCTCTGCAGAAGACTTTAAAACCCCACTTGTCTGGTTTATTGGCAATATATTGGCAGAGGGAGCCAGCTCTTGTACCTTTATATCCTATCATGACCTCATCCACACTGTGCTTGTAAGTAGATGGTATCAGGAGACACTGCTTGCGAAGCATGTCAAAGAGTGGACGGATTTTGTAAAATCGATCTGGATTCTCACTGCACTGCTGATTGTCATTGAAATGAATATAACGGCGTAACAGCTGAAATCTCTTCCTTGGCATGATATCAGCTATCACACTGAAGCGTGAATCATTGTGCCAGTAATCCTCCAGCGATGGAAATTTGAAAACACCCATAAAGAGTAGCATGGAAAGAAAATCTTCAATCTCTTCTGGGCTGGTCTTGATTGGATCCCCCAGCTCCTGGGCAGAGTACAGGTTGGTATGATGAGCAACATGCTGAATCATCTCATCAGTGAAGAACATTTTGAAGTATTGGAAGGGTGACTGTACAACCACAGGGGTTTCAAATCTTGATTCTGTGACCTGGAATTCCTCAATGTCTTCATGCTTCCAGATTCTTCTTGTGCCATTGTGTGGGCCTGAGGGGGAACTTGAGCCAGGGGTATCCTCTGTCTCCTTCAAGGAAACTGTTTTTAGAGTGTTTTCCTTTTCTTCTTTTCGTACATGGAAGCTTTTTAAAGGATGTGCTTGTTGAGGGAGCATCATCTTCATCCAGGGACTCAAAAGAACTGTCACTAGCTACCTCTTCTCGGACAGGGTGATAATCCGGATCCTCTATTGGATCATCAGCATCACTGAGATCAGCATCAGAGTCTTGGGGGTTTTCTGGTACAAGGGCCTGAAGAGTGCGCGTTCTTGTACCATAGAAATGGTTGACATCCATCTAGTAATTGTAAAAAAAAAAATAAATAAATAAAATAAATAACAATCACTTACAATTTTAGTAATGTTAGTACACAAGCATTTGTCATTTAAGAAGTAATTGCCTCTGATAATTATGATACATTAATTCTATGAAATCATTATATTAACTTAAAAAAATATCCAAAAGTGGCAAAAAATACATACTTAAGAAATGATCTCAGTATATTCATGAAGAAATAACAATAGCTGTGTCATATTCATAGCTATGAATGAGCAGAAGTTTATATTTCTCAGCAAATAGTCCATTCTGACTGCAGAAATGGATGATCTGAAAACATTAGCTTAGCTTTTCTACGTTTACCATAAAGTGACAAATCAACTGTTTGGTTGAGCACGTTTTTGAAAAATTATTAAAAACATACTAAAGTTTTTTCATGGCACCAAGTAACATAATTTTGTAAAGTTAGGACTCTTACAGTGTAATACGTCAAAAAAATATGCTTACCTTGCCAAATTTCACCAAGAACAGTTCACATGGCAGGAGTGATTTCTGTGTTTCTGACATCCACGTAAGAAGAAGTGTTGTACAAGTGCTGTTGATTGACACTCTGACATCTAGTGGATTTTTTTGGCATAACATACCTCAACCAGATGGTAGAGATGGATCAATCAGCTTGAGTTAAGTTAGGTACTCCTCTCAATAAAATATAGTGACTCAAAATGTGCTCAACCATTTGGTCGAGCAGGCCGTTAAAGGGTTAAGTGTTTGTGCTGAAAATTATTAATGTGCATGCATGACAGGGAGGCACCTGCGTGATCACATTATTTTTTCCTGATAATGAAACAACGAAAAACTGGGGTACCTCACATACAGTACATGAGAAAAATGTTTACTTTTAAAGGATCCAATTCAAAACAAAAGCAAATACTCCCTGATTATATCATTTGAATGAAGGTGCGTCCAATAGGCTACTAGACATCGCTGTTAAAGTTTTTAAAGCATTTATACACGTTTGCATAAATTCTGCTTTCAGAACGGTCCGTAACGACTGCAGCGTTGCCGCTTCGTTTCTTAAATATGAACCAAAGCGCGATCATACATTATTAAGGTCTTACTGTCATTATTAGCCCTTCATGGATTCATTCTTGCATGTATTCTGTAGCTTATTGTGAATATAAACCATCAGTTTCGGATACGGCAAAGCTAAACTGCACCTGATTTTAGCTTTGCATTTCAGCCCGAGCTCAACGTTTCCCTGTTCACGCAGATGAGATGGCAAGCGCATCCTGTTTGTTTTCTCTATTTTACAAAAGCACAACGTTGTGTTGATACTGTGAGTGCACACAAAATTAAGGGTACAGCAATTCCATGCAAATGTCAACCTTGCCAAACAAAATAATTTTTTACCAAAATAACAAAACCCTTTCAAAGTTGTCCTTTTAATGTCTGTATTTTATTGTATTGATGTGCTGTCAGGGAAATTTTAAGGATATTGCTTTGTTTATTCACCACATATGAGGTTTGCACAGATAGAAAAGTAATATTTTCAGTCAACCATATTTCATGCTTTCAAAAGAAGGATCAAAGACTCCCTTTTTTATACTTTATGTTAACAGTAAGCATTTTGCAGAGAAATGGGGGCATGCATGAGAAATAAATACACTCACTTTGATATAACAGCACTGCCATGTAAATTCATAAGCCATATATTTAGAAAGTCATAAAGTCAATGATTTAAAGATAAAGTTTATACTGTAAGCCCTTTAATAAATATTAATACAAATAACGTGAAACTTTATATACAAAGCCAAAATATGTCCATGCTAATTATGATCGACTATTCATCTCACTTATTTGCTCTAAACAACCTTAATTATGCGTTACGGACTTGACCGTTACGGACGCTTTCTATTAAATCATGCAAGTGACCAGCGCATATTTGTTCACCATGATGTTGCTATTAAAATCACTGACTCACATTACATTTATCTCTGTTACTGTATATCGGAACATTTCAGAAACCAATTCATTCTAGTAACATTTTATAAATACATTTACATCATTAAGATTTACATATCACCATAATTCATAAACAATTATCGTCATAAATAATCATTTGATTATTACAGTATCAGAGAGAGAGAGTGAGGAATAGACGTGCACAAATGTTTACTCAGATAATCGCCTACATCCTACCTTTAAGGACACACCTTAATGTGTTGACGCGTGTTCCCTTTTCCTCACTTTCTTTCCCACGTGCCCTCTGTTGACCAAGCAGAGTTATTTCTGAGGTGAGAATAGGTCTGACTGCAGATCTTCTATTTCTGGATAAATATCTATTTCAAGTAATTGGTAAGTAATTTGAAATTTACATGTATATACATGGTAATTTTGAGAAAAGTGTATAAACTACAAATAATAAATAAATAAATATCTTGAACACACTGTGGCCATGGAGTGTATAATGAAAGAATCTGTTCAGTTTTAACAATTGTTTATTACACAATATCAATGTTAATAAAATTAATTAATATAATACAACAACCAATAAAACTATATGCAATAACCAACAAAGAAACAACAACAAAATGTATTTATTCTATATAACTCTCATACTTTTCTCACGTTTCTATAACGTGTGAATATATCCCCTATCGTATTCTACAACAAAAACAATCAGAGCGCCTTACTCCGCTATTAGCATATAGCCCGTTAGCATCGCCAGCGTGGTTGCCGCTAATCTCGCTTACATTGCTAATACTCTATTCACACACATTACCATTGTTTTACTCACTGTTACTTGCTTTAATGAGGGATGTGTGTCTACCTTTGAGTGCAGGTGAGGACACATTCGAGCTGCATTCGGTGCAGGTCGAGCTGGAGGCCGTGGAGAAGCAGATCCGGGACTTGGTGGCAAAGCAGACCCAGCTGAGAGTGCGGAGAGCCGCGCTGGAAACATCCCAGGCTGATGCTCACAAGTCCGAGGTAAGTATACAGCGCGCTGCTAACTCTCCCACCACCTCTACTCCGTGTGTTTCTCTGCACAGGCCCGGTGCACCCAGGACGCGATCTTCCCAGATGTCCTTCACTCTGGCGCCGGGACACCACGGACACTGAGTGCACCCGCAGCGAAAGACGCGAGCCAGGCCCAGGGCGACGACCTCTCCCCCTCCGGTTTTCGAGATCTCCACCCGGAACCGCTTCGCTCCCCTCCGCGAGACGGAACGCGACGCTGTGATCATCGGAGACTCCATCGTCCGGCACGTCCGTGCTACGTTAGCTGAAGGTAAAGTGCACACTCACTGTTTCCCTGGTGCTCGTGTTCTCGATGTTTCTGCGCAGATACCCGCGATCCTGAAGGGTGACGAGAGCCCCGGAGCGGTCGTGCTTCACGCGGGGGCTAACGACACCAAGCTGCGGCAGACGGAGTTGCTTTAAATTAATGGTTATTGTCATGGTTTAAAGAACAGAAACTGCTCTTTGTTAATAATTGGAATCTTTTCTGGGAGCGTCCTAGGCTTTTTCGCGCTGATGGCCTGCATCCCAGCAGAGTCGGTGCGGAACTCATGTCGGACAACATCTCCAGGACGCTGCGCTCCATATGACTAGTAAGTAAAATCTCAAATAACTGCCCTGATGACTTGTGTTCTACCCGCTTAAATGATAGAAGTATTTGTGCTGTCCAATCTATAAAGACTGTGTCTGTACCCCGAATAGTGAGGTCAAAATATAAATTTAATGCAGGCTTTAGAAAAAATCTGATCGTGATTAAACTAGAAAAATGCTAAATAAATTAACAAAAACAATTTTTAAAGTTTGGGCTCCTAAACATTAGATCACTCTCACCCAAAGCAGTTATTGTAAATGAAATGATCACAGATAATCGTTTTGATGTACTCTGCTTGACTGAAACGTGGCTAAAACCTAATGATTATATTGGTCTAAATGAGTCTAC